TTGTCTGTGTGATGTTGTGCTAGATTGTGTTTTTTGGTTTTTCTATGTTTGGATCTTGTCTGTTGCTGGGGACAACAACGTTTAAATCTGGGAATGATTTGATATGCCTCTGGCAGATGTAATTTTCCAAGCTAAAAATGATAAGGATTAAGTCATAAAAGAGCAGTTTATTTACATATTTGCTTATTAGGTTGACTTTTCCATTTCAATGATATTTTTCACCTATTTGTTGTGTTTATATAAGGAGAAAGAAAGAGAAAACGAAATTTCAAAAGACTGTTGGTGCGAATCTGCACGGGCATGGGTTCTGAGCTGCACCGTGGAGACTTGGGTCATTTTCCAGAAAAGTGGCGCGATCTGGCGCCACTATGGCGCGATCCTGTGCCAACCAGATTCCCCTGGGCCACTTACCAGAGAAGTGGCGCGATCTGGCACCATTGTGGCGCGATCCTGCACCAGTTAGGTTGCAGACCTACGTTCCAGAGAAGTGGCGCGATCCCGCCCCAGTTTGCGAGAAAAAACACCGTGTTCTGAAAGGGCAATTTTGGAAGAAGTGAACCAGGTTTATGGACTTTGAGATTGTGTTAGACTCTTGGCTTGGATAGTTAGCTTGCAAGGTAAGCTTTCGTGTCCTCGGTTTAGCCATGTTGTGGTTCCACCATGTCCCATGGGGGTATGGTTATATGCATGCTGTGTTATATGTTTTTGATCGTGAAATACCCGGATATGTGTATCCAGATATTGATATCCGGATATTTATATCCGGATATGGGGTCCCTTGATATCCGGATATGGATATCCGGATATGTCCCCGACAAATATCCGGATATTTTGAGTTTGCGAGGAACAGTAGCTTACTGTTCATCCAGAACTGATGTTTGGGGGTTTGTGGACCCTAGATTGTTGAAGTTGAACTTCTGTTTTATTTGAACTAAGTCAGAATCATTGTGAATAAGGGCTTGTGGCTTTGTGTGAAGCCTTAAGACGTAAAACGTAAAGAAAGACGTTGTCTTTAAGTTGTATGCTTGTAGAGTTTGATTAGTGATATATATTTGGTCCATAACAAATTGTGATACTCATAACACTTTTTGAGGACAGAGAAAAACAAGGATTCCAGAAGGAGGAGAGGAACAGAGGATTGTTCTTAGTCTTATTTTTGTAATTACATTCTTTCATCTTTATCTTTTATAATTTTATGTCAGCCATGATCATGGTTGGCTAGTACTCTTTATTGTAGTTAGGGTCACAAACCCTATGTGAATCCTTGTTACAACGGATTGATTAATAATATTTTTTTTTATATTTATATTTATCTCTACTCTGTGCGTAATTTCTATCTTCTTTGTTAGAATTGATCAATCTAATAGTTGATGATAGTTTGAGGGTAAGAACCCTAGATAGGAATATTGAGAATTTTGATCTTGAAAGGGAGTAGGATAACAATTTGTATGCGTGCTAGGAACTGACGTATATATTATTGCAGATGTTTAATTTATCGTGCTCATTGCTTAATTTCATGAGAAACATCGCAAGGAATTGGGGTTAAAGGGTAACCTTGCAAGAAATTGAGGGTTAGCTATTTAATATTTTTAGATGATAAGTTATCTGAGTATTTATTTGAATGAGTATTTTAAATCACTCCAAAGTAAAAGGTGGGATCATATGGTGAGTGCACTCTAGCTACAATGTCTTCTCATATTTTATAAAATTAATCTCTGTTCTATTTTTCATAACAAAAAGTCCAAAAATACGTTTTTATTTTAGTTCTTATTATTACTCAAATCCACAATATTTTGTCACATTTATTTGATCTCTTTCTGTCTTAAAAGGAACGATTATTTGATATTTGATCATAATCCCTGTGGAGACGATACTTTTCTTATCACTGTATTACTTGTGCGATCGGTATACTTACCAGGTAGCATCAGCCATGTTGTAACTGATGATGGAGTTAAGGCAGATAAAAAGAAAATAATAGAAGCTATGGTTGATTGGCCTACACATCAATCCACTAAACAGTTATGGGCATTTCTTGGGCTAACGAGCTTTTATAGGAGATTTGTTAAAGGTTATGCTTCTTTGGCCCATCCTTTAACAGATTTACTCAAACAAGCCAAGTTTTCATGGAACAATGAAGCTGTTGTTGCATTTTTAGCATTAAAGGAAGCTATGTCTACAACCTCAGTGTTACAATTACCTGATTTCTCGTCTTCCTTCACGGTGGAATCTGATGCTTCCAAATTAGGAGCTGGAGCTGTGTTGTTGCAAGGTGGAAGACCAGTGTCTTATTTCAGTAAAAAGTTTGGTCCAAGATTGGCAGTTTCCTCTGCTTATGTAAGGGAATTGTATGCAATTACAGAAGCTATTAAGTAATGGAGGCACTACCTACTGGGTTCCCACTTTGTGATTAAGATTGATCATAAAAGCTTGAGGGAGCTTTTGAAGCAAACTATTCAGACAGCACATTAGTAGGGGTACATTTATAAATTGATGGGATACAACTTCACCATTGAATATAAATCAGGTATTTCAAATATTGTAGCAGATGCCCTTTCAAGGCAGCTTCCAGATGAAGAAAAAGCAGTATGTAATGCATTATGTTCAGAACCACTGCTGGATATTTCGTTGAAGGTTAAGGAGGATAACAGAACGGACCAAGAATTATTAGCCATTCATAAAAATATGGATGAGGGTACAGTTCTTAGCTGTGATTTTTCGAGGAAGGATGGCATGATTTTCCACAAGAACCGATGTTATTTTGGATCCAATTTGCCCCTAAAAGCATTGCTGTTGACAGAGGCTCATGCTACACCATTAGGTGGACATGCTGGAGTTCAGAGAATATTTTTGCGTTTATTTGCATCTTTTGTGTGGAGGAATATGCGGCAAGATGTTAAAAGATTTGTCAAGGAATGCAATATTTGTCAACAAATCAAGCACTCCACTCAGGTACCCTTCGGTATATTACAACCACTACCAATTCCACAAGCCATTTTTGATGATTTGACACTTGATCTTATCACTGCACTGCCTAAATCAAATGGCTATACCACTATATTGGTAGTTGTGGATAGGTTGTCCAAGTATGGCCACTTTGGTCCACTGCCTACAGCTTATACAGCAGTAATGGTAGAAAATTTGTTTTGTGAAATGGTAGTGAAACATCATGGGTTCCCAAGATCTCTTGTGTGAGATCGTGATCCCATTTTTATGAGTAAATTTTGGCGGCAACTATTTCAGTTGAGTGGAACGAAATTAAATGCCTCTTCAGCTATCATCCCCAATCAGATGGCCAGTCAGAGGTTACAAATAGGTACCTTGAACAATATTTGCGTGCTTTTTGTTCAGAGCAGAACAATAGATGGTATCAGTGTTTATGTTGGGTTGAACTTCATTACAACACAGCCATCCATTCTGCCATCAACATGTCACCATTCCAAGCAGTTTATAGAAAGGTTCCTACCTTGATTCCACAATACAACAAGTCATCAGTTCAAGTGGAGGCAGTTGACATGATGTTACAGCAACGAGATCAGGTGATGGCTTATCTCAAGACCAAATTGCAAAGAGCTCAGCAAAGGATGAAACTCCAAGCTGATCGACACAGACATGAAAGAACATTTTAGGTTGGTGACAGAGTGTTGATCAAACTGCAACCTTATCGTCAGGTATCGGTTGTGAGACGTGCAAGTCACAAGTTGGCCAAACGTTACTTTGGTTCTTATTGCATTGAAAAAGTGATAAGTCCAGTGGCTTATAGAGTAACATTACCACCAGGAAGCTTGATCCATCTCACATTTCATGTGTCTTCATTGAAATCATTCCATGGTTCAGCAGATATTAGTCATGAGCCATTACCTATTACAAGTATAGATAATAAACCTCTTCAGGAGCCAGTAGCATTACTTGCCTCCAGACATGTGTAGCAACGTGATAAGCAAGTGCTCCAGTTTTTGGTGCAATGGTCATCAGTTGTTCCTGAAGATGCATCATGGGAAAATGCAGAGGACCTTCGCCAAGCGTATCCAGCCCTACACCTTGAGGACAAGGTGACTCTTAAAGGAGGGGCAGGTGTTACATATAGTGTAACTAGAGAGAAGAGTGTGAGAGTCAAGGGGTACCCATCGCGGGCCTTGGATTATGTACAATAAATATTAGTTGCTGATGCATACGTGTAGTATAGGCAGTTGCTGATATATACGTGCAGTGTAGGTTGTTGTATACGTGTAATAATGGTTTACATTGAGTGAAGTGGTTGTGCCACATTGGCTAACTAAGTCTGCTATTAAATACCCACCATGGGTATGTATAAGGCATGCAATTAATCAATAAAGTTCAGAGGTTTTTACTTGTAAGGGTACGCGTCCCTTATCAGCAAACTGGCTAGCTAACTTTATTATAGACACTGAAGATTGTATTCTTCATCAAATTTGGTGGGATCCCCCACCTGGAATCCAGTTTCATATCTAGCGTTGTCAGTAAGACTAGAGCAGTGGTGTGCAGGAGTTAGGTGTTTTGTGGTTTCATTTGTTTTCAGTTTTTGGGCTTAGGCTTTTTATTACCCAAAAAAAGAGAGAAATAAAGGGCCTATTTGATTGTGTTTTGATTTTTTTTGTTCTTAAAACTGTTTTGTAAAATAGTTATGGAAACAGTTGTTTTCTATATTTTTTTCTTTTAGAAAGTTAAAAACAAAAACAGAAACAGAAAACAAAAACAACTCAGACATGTTCTTTAAATTTGATTTTAAAAACAAAAAAACAGTTATAATTTTCAAAACATTTTTTATAAAATAGATCTTACCAAACGAGTTTTTTTGTTCTAAAAGTTAAAAAACTGTTTTGTAGAACAGTATTCAAACTTTATTCTCACCATGATGTTAGCGTTCCGCTTGAACAGTATTCACTCTATCTCACGAAGAATATTTGTGGGGTTTATATAAAAAACATGGAATATTAAAAAAAAGCGAGTGGAAGAGAGTAAAAAAAAAAACCCCGCATGAACCGTAGCGTGGCGAACTGTACCCGGTCCAAATCCGCGACAATGTGCTTTTGGCGCCACTAGACAATAGACATCATCACCTTGTGAGTTGTGAGACTTGAGAGTGCAAATTTCAATTTCAGTTCTGAACAACGCACTGAGATATACAAAGAAGAAAGAGCTTCGCATTGTGACCTAACAATGGCGGAGACGATCTCTCCTATGGACATCGACGGCCACGACCTCACTTACCCTGCGAGGTCTGACAAGGGCAAAAGTGTCGTCGTCGGCAACCATCCCGGCGGCGGCAAGGCGATTCCGTGGGTCGAAAAGTACCGCCCTCAGTCCCTCGACGACGTCGCCGCTCACCGTGACATTGTCGATACTAGTAAGACTCTCTCTTCCCCTTTCATCTCTAGGGTTTATGATTCCTCTTCTTCCGCTTGCTTACCGAAATAGTTTTTCAGAAAGCGTCAGCATAATTTAGCCGAATATGAGAGTTTTCACTATTATAGTATAAGTTGCTTTTCTTCGTTTGATTTAATGATAATTGCCCCACTTATCCTCGTCCTAGGGTTTATACTCGTGGAATTTCATAGTGGAGATCATTTTATTTTATATTATTTTGTGTTTATTTTTGGTTTGGTTTGGTTAAAATGTGGAAATGAAAAAGGACTTGTAAGTGTACATTTTGTGATTATTATTATTATTTTTGGATCCATATTTGTTTGCAATTTAGTATCACACTATCACTGGTGTTTCTTGCATCTTGTTTGGTTTTAGATCTCATGTCATTCATTGTTTGTTCATTTGTTGGGTAGTTGATAGGCTGACCACTGAGAACAGATTACCCCATCTTTTATTGTATGGGCCTCCTGGCACGGGCAAAACGTCAACTATTCTTGCGGTGGCACGCAAACTATATGGTGCACAGTACCACAATATGATTTTGGAGCTCAATGCATCAGATGATAGAGGAATTGACGTTGTACGACAGCAGATTCAAGATTTTGCTAGCACTCAGAGCTTATCATTTGGGTTGTCTTCTCTGCCTATTATTTTCTCTGCTTGTAACTTCTTACTGGTTTTTATTGTGTTTGCTGTTTTATGACTGTAATGTAATAGATAGTGCTTTCTAGTTTTTATCGTTGGTCTATCTAATTTTAACTTGATTGTCAAATTGATATTCTTTGAGTTACTTTGTTATTATGTTGTGATTGCCTTAGCCATAGTGTCCATCAATATAATCAGCTACAATTGAACTTTAAAGCTTTAGAAATTTTTGTGTTGTATATGGAGTTAATATGTCATGTAATCAAGTATAATTTGCCTTGCATTCATTGTTCAGTGTTGCTGAGTTTTCAGGGTTCTGCACTAATTAGTGAGTTCCAACTTCCTAATACCAGTCCATTGGTCAAGCAGAGGATCTTTATTGTTTTTTTTTTCTTTTTCTTGTTTCCTTTTTCTGGTCCTTTATCTCTGTACTGCAAATTTATTTCTCCAAAAGTTGTTGTAGTGTTAAATGTTGTTTTCCCCCCCAAATTTAACATTCTCTGATTATTATTGTCTCTGTCCTGCAAATCTTGTATTAATTTATGAAATAAGAATTCCAGATTTCGATGTATATTTTTTAATGTAATTTCCATGCTGAATGCTGGACAACTAGGGCAGTTATATTGTAAACAGTTTCCCCCCATTATGTGGATATAGCACTTAAATCGTTCAAGGCAACATGAGGATATTGTTTATATAATTCCTTTTGTTCTTTTCAATTTTCAGACATGATGGTTCTGAATTTTAAAGGACTTGGTTCTTTTGTTGTGTCATATTCTAGTTCCCCCCCCCCCCCCCCCCCCCCCCCCCCCCCCCCCCCCCCGCTTGCATATGTATTTAATCAAGAAGTTACATGGATAGAAGTGTAACTAAACTTGCAACATTTCCTTTGGGGTTTTTGTTGTTCTGGAAGTGTCCTGAAACAGCAAGTTTTGCCTTAACTGACTATCTCATGTTCTCTGTTTAGTGTCAAGTCCTCTGTAAAACTGATCTTGCTTGATGAAGCGGATGCCATGACAAAGGATGCCCAATTTGCATTACGTAGAGGTATGCTCTATTTTTTATACCCTATTTAACTTGTGTATATAGCTTCAATCTATTTTCTTGTGTTATAATACCCTTCATCTTGTTTTTGGTGCAGTGATTGAAAAATATACAAAAAGCACTAGGTTTGCACTTATCTGTAATCATGTAAACAAGATCATTCCTGCACTGCAATCAAGATGCACTCGGTTTCGGTTTGCCCCTCTTGATGCTGTCCATGTCACTGAAAGACTTAAACATGTTATTAAGGCTGAAGGGTATGTTTCATGTTCTCTGTGATCTGTCTTCATGCATTAGTTTGACTCTGAAGATAGCTTTTGCCATGTTATTTTCTCGCATTATCCAGAATCTTCTTTGTGAGAATTTGTGTTGTATTCTATTCTCTTAGTTGGGGGCTTGTGCATATTGAGTGCCAATATAATGATAACGAAGCAAATGAAGCTTTCGTTGGTTATCTCAAGAGCTTGTATGTATTTTGTTAATGTTTTAACACATCAATAGTTTATCTGCTGAAAGCTGTAAGATTGGTCTTTTCTGACAGTTGACTTTTTTTAGTACAATGTGTAAACGGTTTCATGTGAAAAATAATATTCAGCTTCTCTTGGGTCTCAGTTAATTTGGAGGGCAGGTGACAGGAGAGGGAAGATGTGCTTCCTGTTTTTCTCCTGGCTCCATCATTTTAGCATGCGCATCCATTTGCATTCAGTCCATTATAGAAGGTTATTACAAAGTGTCCTTATATGATTGTAATTACCCAATTCAGAAAGATCTTCTTAGTAAGGTGTTGCACTTTTTTTCCATTTTATTTTCAATATTTTATATGTAAAATCTGAAATTATGAATATTTAAAAAGAAAAATATTATAAGGCCAAATGCAGATCATAGTAACAGTAGTTTAGCTTGAACTTTATTTTATATTAAAAAAAAAACTAAAAAAAGTTGGCTGTCTGTGTAAACAAAAGTTGAATAGTTGGATTCTTGCATTCATTTGTTTATGTATGCAGAAATAATCCATGAAAAGGGATATTATATTCTCTCGTTAATACTGATTATTGAATCATAGGGTCTGGATACTCTATAGTTGAACTGCATGTGCAGTCAGAGAAATATAGAAAGCGCATGTAGATCCCACAATTTCAAAAATTATAAGACCCAAATCTCGCATCTATCTATTTGTAACTGCTCTGCAGGTCTTCCAAATCGTGGAATTATATTGGATCTTTTTATTTGATTAGTCTGATCAAATTGTTAGGGTAAAACTTGTTTGTTTTACTTCAAGTTATAAAGTTATTGAGGAATCCTGTAGATTTTCTAAAATTTTTCATAAGGAAACCATTAAATTATACGTCCAGTAAAATTCACAATTTGAATGGCATACTCTGCCTTTAAATGTCAAGTGGAAGTATAATATTGGAAGGTATTAATATAATTACGGCATATATTAAATTGGTTGTACATGCTAATATCCTTCATTTTAAACATCTCATACCTATGGCCCCGCTACTGGATAATCACCTTACTATATTTCTATTAACAGTTGTAAGTTGTAACATTGCGATTCAGTTTTCGGCTTAATAACTTCAATATGATGATTAACATTTTGTAATTTGACTAGGCTTGATGTTCAAGACAGTGGCTTAGCAGCGCTTGTTCGACTTAGCAATGGTGATATGAGAAAGGCTTTGAATATTCTTCAGGTAGCTTATTGACAACTTTCAATTTTCTTATATACAAATCTACCAGCTTGTCTTTTTATTTTAATGTTTATTGTTTTCAAGTAAAGGAGAAATTGTACCTGATGTACCGAATCAAACTCCATTTTGGGAATGAATACTACACTGTTTTAGTATCAGCCCCCCCCTCAACTCACGTAGACACACATACTGGTCTGAGATGTGTACAGAACCATACTGTGATATATAATGCTTGGTTTGAAACATACGGCCATAAAAAGTATGGAAGCTTTGGTCATACATGGTGAAGTCTTGACATGACAATTACTAATTTCAGTATTTTCACTCAAAGATGACAATACATGGTTTGAGGCTGTAAATTCTTGAATAACTTCTTTACTATAGATTCTTGAAACTTTTCAACTTTAATGACTTGCAATATATAGTACTAAATTATATATACTGGATTCATGATTTTATGATCCATTATTTGATAATTTTCCATTATATACATGTGATCTGATGATTTGTATACATATACCATGTAAATTTGTGTTTCTTCTGATGTCAATTAAATTTACTAAATGGTAAAGTGAATTGGCATTACTTTTTTTGGAGAAGTATGACGTATGCTGGGTGTCATGGGCTTTTTTTCATCATTAATAACTGAGGATGTAGATATAGTTTGCAATTTCATCGAATATGATATTTAGGACTGCTTCTGTATGTCTTGCCTTATTTTGAACTTGAAATGTATAAAGAAAAGGAAGGAAAAATAGAATATGAGGGGGACTAAATGTTTATATTGGAAACATCTTTCTTAAGTAAATTTCCCATTTAATATTCTCATTTTCGTTTTTCTTGGGTCCAAATGCTTGTTAGTATTCTTAAACTTTGTTTTTCAGCTCCCATGATTTTCTTTCACTCTCATCTTGTATCCAAGTGTCCAGGACAACTAACAATTGGCAATTCCTAACCATGAGAACTATGTTATGAATTCTTATATCTGGAATTATTGTTTCTTTTGTATTAGTGGATCCTAGATGACATATTCTGTTGCTTTAATATTTGTGCAGTCAACACATATGGCTTCTCAGCAGATAACAGAAGAAGCTGTTTACCTGTGCACTGGAAATCCATTGCCCAAAGACATTGAACAGATATCCTACTGGCTTCTAAATGAACAATTTGCAGATAGCTTTAAAAGTATTAAATGATCCGTTACCCTTTATAATGGTGTTTAATATTTATAAGCAATTTATGATTTTTAATTCGCATTATTTCAAATAGGAGTATATGAAATCAAGACAAGAAAAGGATTGGCCCTGGTAGATATTGTGAGAGAAGTGACAATGTGAGTCTTATGCATCATACTGACTGTCCAACTTCCACGCAATTTATTTTATTGATCTTGTTTTGATTATATTGTTATCACAGGTTTGTTTTTAAGATTAAGATGACTCCAGCTGTCCGAGTACAGTTGATGAATGATTTGGCAGACATAGAGTATGTATTACTGTCCTACTTTTTTTTACATGCTATTCTCCTTCTGTCTGCTAACCAGAACAGTGGTAAAGCTGTTCTTTCATGACTAAAAGGTCATGTGTTCGAATTCAGGAAACAGTCTTTTTGCAATTATGCAAGGGTTAGACTGCGTACAAGGATTACTTCCACCCCACACTCGTTAGTCGAGTTTAATGGGGAGTGATTTTTTTTTTTTTTTTTTTATTCTCCTTCTGCCTGACCTAACGAACAGATGTCTTGAGTTACATCAACATTTCTCTAGAAACTGTAAAAAATATATGTATAACTAATTTAATATTTATGTAATATGCCAACATGGAGTAATAATCCATACATTTGTATGCATTGGATATATATGCATAAATTATAATTAATAAAGTAAATCTTAACCTTTGTACTGTTTGTTACTTTCAGCTTTTAGTGAACATGTTCTCTAAGGCTCAGAAACGTGCAGCTTTCTATGGTTGTTGTTTGTGAATATTAATAGTTAAGACAATTACTGTTCACTAATCAAAATGTTTCAGCTTTCAACCAAAACATTTTAACATCCTTGTGAATTTTCGTGTTCTAAAAAGAACTCGTGTTGTTTTTCTTGTGGATTCCTATAAAAAGTCTAGGCCGAGCCTTAAAAAAATTCCCATAGTTCTGCACCTAAGGTTTTACTTTTCCCTTGTTGATAATTAATCCAAAATAACCATTCATGTACCTACTTATATGCTTTGTCATTTTCATGCTGTTAGGTACGTGTTAGGTGGCAGCAGGTATAATGTGGGGCTCTAGTAATTTATAAAAATGCCTTAGATAGGTCTACTCGTGTCCCTGCCCCCCCCACCCCCCTATTTCTCTTTTTTCTTTATCTCCCGTTGCAGTTTCCTCCTCCTTTTCAGTGGTTGAGCGCAGATAGCCTGAAATTTGGATTTTGGGTTAGTGCACCCTGGGATTTGGTTTATCTGGTTTGTCATTACTTATATTAGAGATGATATCATCGCATAACCTTACAACATAAAAGTACGAAGTATAATATGAAAATTTAATAGTCAATGATGGATCTAAGGAAAGAAGTTGTATATTCTCCTTTTTGGTTCTTGGAATTATATGCCCACTTATGATAATGGGAATGACATTTCATCTCTTCCAGGTACAGATTAAGTTTTGGGTGCAACGATAAGCTTCAGCTTGGATCTGTTATTGCTTCTTTTACCCGTGCTAGATCTGCACTGGTTGCAGCTGCTCAATAACCTATTCCCGAATACGATCCCCTGTGTGTTATTGCTTTCGCATGCCTATTTGGCTTGGCTTCTTTGATTTCCATGGCAACTGTCGTTAATATTGAGAATGACATTGTAGTGTCTCAATTTGTGTAAAGAAATTAACTGTGTTTATGCCTTTCAACTCCTGATGAGTTTTCACTTAGAAGAATTTTCACAAAATTTTGAAGTAGGACATCTTTAGCTTTAATTTTATTGACATGATGTTACTGCTACTTATTTTAAGAGTGACACAATTAGGTTCAGACATTAAGATCGAAAACTGTTATGACATCAAGACAATGGAAGTCCTTAACATAGATAATAGCTTATGATTTTAAGGCTTTATTTTTATGTTCTCTAATAATCATAAATGTCTTTGTTTTTAATTTTTTTTAAAAGGAATGGTACAATAATACATTTGATGCATTAATTATCCTAGTAATTGGTGAATACATATAAATAGTTCTTATATTATGTCTATATCAGTACCATTTTTGAAAAGACAAGCCGCACTAAACTAAAGATGCAACGTGCCAAAAATGCAAATGCCGAACAACTCCTATCAAAATGTAACATCTCAATTCATCGTTCTCGTCCAGTTTCTCAAAATCGACGATATTCCGCTCTACAAAAGAACAAGCAACAAAAACCAGAGGGTCGAACGTTGAACCAAATTCATATCCTCACGTTAACAGTTATGCAAATATGCGCGCAAGATACGTGACAACAAGTAATATATGACGTATTTGAGGCCCTAATATTATTTCCACAAGGATTTTTGGCGTTTTTGACTTGATTAAAATTTGCAATTGCTAAAACTGAATCTAATATAAAAAGAGAGTAAAAATAAAAACACAGTAATCACAAGACTAATTTCAAATATTACTGATCAGTGATTCTATTTTTTTAGGATTTTCAGAATTGATTTCTTGGGCTAAAGAGTGAAAAATGGAAGGAAAACAGATTAGATATATGATGTAAAAAGATTTTTATATAAAGAAATTGTAAACAGAACTATGATTGAAATATTAAAAATCAAAGGAAAAGAAATATGAGTTGGTGAAAAATAGGTTGAGCTTCGGTTTACCCTTTCCCAACAGCAATAAAATGACTGTCAATTAAAGATTATTAAAATTCAATTCTCAGTTAACGGATCACTTCTTGTTGATTTTAATCTCTTAAAATCATTTTATCCTCAACACTCATTTACACATCTTTGTGCTAAATGAAGTAAGGACTCATACATTACAAGTCCAAAATCACATGGTGGTTGTCCTCATCTCTGAGTGACAGCCCTTGAATGCTCTCACACTCAAGTCCATGTGACTAACACATTTCCAGAATTAGTCACTTCTCAATGACTACTTCCTAACATAATATCTACCATCAGGCCTTAATGACAGAATATTTAATTACAAGCACAGTGTTAAACAACTGAGAATCAAAGTTTAACAAAAGTAATTAACAAACATCTATTACTGTGGTTCGGGTAACCTACACCCAACCTTGAAAGGTTTAGCTCATACCCATAAGGGTTGAGCTACAAACAACAAACGAAATTAAAACGTACAGAAACTTAGAGTGCAGAAAAATAAAAGGACAGTACGAGTCCTAATAACCGGAATAGCCTCAGTGCTGTACTGACGGGTTTAAATCCAAATAAAAACTCATTACAGTACCAGAAAAATGAAACTAAAACTAAAGAAGAAAAAAAAATGGAAAAGAGAAATGAAAAAGAGGAAGAAGCAGCTCCCTACAGTGACGCTCTTCCTTCTTTTATATCCGCTTCTTTTGCATGTGAAAACCTTACGACCCTTGCATCAACAGCCACGTGTCCTCACTCTCACGCTTTGATCATCCCTTACGCAAGCATCTTCTTTTTCCACGCCCACTCCTTGCAACAACCCGCAATCGCATAACAACCTCAAGCTAAAGATTCTGTATTTTTCTCCTTTTCTATTTTTTTCAATGACGTGGCTGGTTGGTTGATCTATATGGGTGAGAATCAGCGCACCAAAAAGTTTTGTGGCTCAATGCTTTTACACACTCAGAGACAAGTGAGGTTGGGTGACTCAATAAACCAAAGATTAAGAATGGCTAGAGTTTGGTTGAGCTTGATTTGGAGTGAATTTAGTTTATTACGATCGCTGCTCTTTCTTTTACTCAGCCTTGATTTTCATTTACCTTTCTACCCTTGCATTGGGTCATTGACGTGGGCTGATTTTTGTATGCCATGCTCTCTGTGTTGGCTTCTTTTGGACTTGGTCTTTTGGGCTTTCAATATTCTGCAATAACAACCAAATACAAGTCTCACAGCACAATTTAAATCAAAACACACTAGAAATGAGGCATAAATAGCAGGGAACAAGTATAAAGAGTTATCACTCACGCAACTCAAGAACGGGAGAAGTTACTTGGACTAAACCCAGCACCAATAGCACAATTGCTTGTCAGATAAGAATGATGAGAACGAGGAGAAACCTCACTACTAATAAAATTTTCTTTTCAGTGACTTACTAATAAAATTTGTCATGATTTAAGTAATTGAAAAGAAAAAAAAATTGTTTTATTACGAGTGATTTGATATCATTATATTCATTTTCATTACAGTGACATTAATATATTATTAATTATTTAATAAAAACATCAGCATTTACTATCTAACAATAATAATAATTCAACAAATTATTAGTTCTTAGAAAAATAGAATATTGTTTTATGCGAAAAACAAAATAATAGTGTGGGTCTGAGGCGCATGCGTTGAGATCATATTTCGAATAAATTTGATATATGACTATTTTTTATCAGAGTTTAAAATTTAAAATAACATTTCTGAGGTAAAAGTTACTTCTTCTTTTTTCATTTTTCTGAACAATAATAATTTTATTAAAAATTTGTTTTTTTTTTGTTTTATCATAAAAGTTTACACTTTTATTAAATAGTTAATAATATATTAATATCGCTATAATGAAATATATAATATTACTATAATAAAATAATTGTTTTTGTTTTAAATTACTTAGGTTATGGCAAATTTTAAGCTGCTGGTTTCCAAGAAATGTGAAAAAAAGAAATTGTTTACCAAAAAAAAAAAACAAGAAGAATTAAAAATCAATTTTGAATATTTGTATTGAGACGACTCTCCTAATATTATTTGCTCTATTTAAGATTCAAACTTGAAATCCTAAGGGGAACAAATTTCTTGTCACTTGAATTAACACTTATTAATTCTCAATAAATTATAATCATTAAATTAATGAAAATCAACGGTGATTAGTTTAATAGTAAGAGTTATAAAATATTTCAGTAATAAGTATAACTGCCCCTAATATTTAATATTATTTTTAGTCAATAATTATATCCCTTGCTTTCATAATAAAATGCCCTCCAGCTTGATTTTTTTGAATGATTATTAGTCGTTAGAAAATATTGAAAGATTATGACTCATTATAAAATTAAATGGAGAATTGTTTTCCTACATAACACAAGATAAAATAATTATCCTACAAGACACGTATAGAGGAGAGAGAATATAAGAGAAAAAATGTATAAATAAGTCCCATCTTTTTATATGTGTATAGAAAATTGTTTTATCTTATGTTATATAAGAAAAAAATTCCCTAAATTAAATTCAGTATTCAAGATGGTATATGAATTTTGTACATGGATAGTTGTTTCTGATCCATGGTTAATATTATAAGGACAAATTGGGGTGGGACGAATTGATTGGATTTGGATGGTATATGAATTTAGTAATCTCACAGAATTGGGTTAAACATAAGAGAAAAGGATATATGCTTAGCCTAATTATGTGAGAATACGCAATTTTGCCCAAGTCTGTATCTTTGGTCCATAGGAATCTACATCTGCTGCATGTAGATTTGGTTTTAGAGCCGACATCTTCATTATTTGTTTAAGAGTAAACAATTATTTATCAATATGAATTCAGAAATGAATCCTTTTATGTTTCTTTTTCTGATCATGTGATGCGTTATATATCAATCATTAATTAAAAAACTTTACGGTTATGAATTAAAATGATGATATTTACTTTTTCATTTTATGATCTTTATCATTAAAATTTTGACTAATAATTTGTCATTGTCCGATTGACATTTACCATATGAGAAGGTCATATTGAAAGAGATATGAGAGATCCATTCCAATCTAATGATTTTACTGTTCTATCTCAATCTAATGATAAATTTTTATAGGAAGTTGTTCCTTTTTCAATGCTTGGCTCAAGTCCCAAAAGGTTGGAACTCTCCATTTTTGGTGCAAGGCTCAAGGGTCATAACCTTTGAGTGGTTTAATGTCTCTCCATAAATGAAGGTATAAGGCTCAAGAGACACATCTTTTGAGTGATTCAATGTCTAGAATCATCTCCCTCCCTATATAAGCTTGTAGTGTGTGAGGTTTAGAGATATGAAAAAGAATTTGAATACCTCTAGATAGAAGTTTGAGTGAAACCTCTTTAGGAAAGTTTGATATTACCACCGTTGTAGGTGAAGTTTGATTGTACCTTTAGTGAAAGACTAGGGATGTTTGAATCTTGTAACCCAATATTCTTATAGTGGAAGTTTGATTCTGGACTAGTGTTTCATGGGTTTTTACTTCTTCACATTGGAGAAAGTTTTCCCCACGTTAAACAAATTGATTGTGTTCTTCTCCGTTTCTCTCCACTTGCATTTTACTGTTTCACTTCCGCAATTGACTTGAGGGTCCGACTTGACCCAACAATGGTATCAAAGCCCGAGTTCGACGGGTTCTGAGGGAGACAAGATGGAGACCAGTGGCATAACTCATGACAGAGACATGTTCAAGCTGACCGCGAACAATTTCACTTATTGGATACCGATGATGGAAGATCATCTCTACTGCAAAGATTTACATGAGCCCATTATCCTTGATGAGAGACCGACAGACAAAATCGATAAGGAGTGGGAGATCCTAAGTTGTAAGGCGGTAGCTACAATCAGGAAATACATAGAAAAAAAAGCCTCTTTGAGCAAGTGTCCGAGTTCACGAACGCGTACGAATTATGGAACAAATTGGAGTCTATGAGAAAAAGACTCCCAGGAACAAAGCACAATTGGTTCGCTGACTTGTGAAGTTGGAATAAAAAGACGACATGAGCATGATTGAACACCTCAACACCTACAAAGGGATTGTGAATCAGCTGTCAAAAGCTGAGATGAAAATTGATGACGAGATGCAAGCTTTGCTGCTGTTGAGCTCGCTACCAGTAAGTTGGGATACTCTGGTGGTGACTTTGAGTAATTCGGCTCTAGAAGGAAAATTA